GGAACCGGAGCCCACCTGAGGTGGAGTCATTGACTGGGAAGTTGTGAGATACTTGGCAACAGTACAGCGTTCCTGAGCATGCTGTGATCAAAACGTCGCTAAAAATCAAACACAGAATGAACCTGAGGGATTTCACTTGCCCAGGTTGCATCTTGAGGCTTAACCGTTCGAAACGGTATCATCAGAGTTAGATGATGTGCTTCGAAATACCCAGGGCATCGTTCACCTCATTCAAAGTCACATGTGACTTGTATGCTTATAGGCCCAGGGTCACCTGAAATCTTCTCGGGTGAAAAGGGTTCGCGTCGAGAACGTGGGAGAAGCCCTGGGCTAGACTGCCTGCCATTCAGGGAGGCTCAGGAAACTTGTCAGGGAGTCTGAGCCCAGCTCGGAGGATTCTTGAGTAAAAGGCGGAGTCAGCCCAGCAAGGAGCAGGTGTGCCTGCATCCTCCCGCTCTACTCAGTCTTTGGTGGTGCGGCTTTGGACACCTGTGGGATGGACTTCCAGGCCAGCTGGAGCCCTTAGTTCATGGTAGGCTTTGTACAGAGAATCCACACGGTTCGTTCTCCGAGCCTCCATCCTCACAGACACCTGCCCACGCCTTCCTACAGGTTCCCAGCACTTCTCTGCTTCCTCAAAGCTATTGGCTACATCTTGACTGCTGCAGCGGTCATCACAAGAGCTGTCCTTGTGTTCTCTCAAAGTTCACAGTTCAAGGAACCTGCTAGGCATCAGACCCCATTCGCTTCCCTCCATCCTTCTGGTCCCATCTGACCTGGTATCCTGTCTCTACTTTGTTCCACGCCACCCGCCCCTTCGCCTCACTCAAGGCAGGGAGGGAAAGGTCCCCGTGTAAATAACCCGGAGAACAAAAACTAGCCACGAGGGTTTCTGTGGTCGGAAGGTGTGTGTGTGTTGACACGGTTGTTTCCACAGCTACTGATCTCCTGAAGCACCCAGGGAGCTCTTTAAAAGTATGGTTTCCCTAGGGGGCCTGCCTCCAGAGATGCTGACTCATCCAAGACGCAGTGGAGAAGGAATTTTCCAGGTGAAGAGTGTGTGTAGGGGCTGGGGGCGTCCTTGTAGGCAGCGCAGCAGGCAGGAATATATGAGGGAGAAGTGTGCTCAAGAAGCAACAGGGTCCCAGCGGGGCTGAAGCACAGGGCAGGAGTGCTGTCTGGGAACAGGGAAGCAGGCAGGGATTAGTTCATCAAGGCTTTCCACGCCCTGCTAAGGGGTTTGGCTTGATCCAGTAATATTTGATCTTCTGATCTCAAAGGACTGCTTGCCAAAGCCATCAACCTGACCTAAGTACAGTCCTGGAACAAAAGTAGCATTTACCACACAGAGCACCTTCAAGGCCAAGGCAGTTGATGTCCTGGAAGCCTGCGGGAGGCTGAATTGCAGGTGGACCTGCCTGGGACCAGCTGTGGGCATGACCTCAGAGAGCCCTGCCCTGCCCTGGAAAAGAAAACTGCACCGAGGAAGCGAGCTGCTCGGGTTCTAGTTTTCTCTAAAAGGCAAACTAGTTAACCAGGAACACGACCACTCGATGCACCAATTTCCTTTTCCCAACAATTCTGGAGAGACCTTGGACTTTATCACCTCCTGGAATGGAGAAAGCGTCATAAAATAGCAGGTCAGCTGCCACAGAGATGGGCCCAGACTTGGACCTTGTGTCCGATCTGGACGGCTCTGCTCAGTTCACCGGAGGCTCGCTGTGCACTTCTTTTGTGCCAAGCAGGGTGTAAGGCACTAGGGATATAACACGTTGTGAAAGATTTCTCTAAGCCTCACTTTCTCCACTTTCTCCACTTGCAAAAGGGTACTATTGTACCTAACAGGACAAAACAAAATATAATGGAGAAAAGTGGGGCTTGGCATTTTCCCCCCCATAAAGGCCAACAATCGGAAGCCGAGACATCCTTCGATAAATCCAATAAACACACGGTTCTCCTGCACATCCCCACAGTGTGTTCTTCCTCAGTGAGAAGAAGTGAGCTACCAATCTACCAGAGACATTGTTCTTGTTGTTCAGTGTCATTGAGGTAGCTCTAGCTGCAAGCCACACCGTGGACAACAGTGAAACGCTGGCCGGCCCTGCAGCCGCCCCAGGGTGCCCTCTGAGCCTGTTGCTGCAGTCACTGTCCACTCACCTTGCTGAAGGCAGTCCCCCTTTTCACGCATGCTCTACTCAGCATCGTGTCCTTGGCCAGACGCTGGTCTCTTCTGATCCCACGTCCACAGGACATGAGCTGAAGTCTTGTCATGCTCACGTTCAAGGAGAAGTCTGACTACACCTGTTGCAAGGTAGAGCCGCCTGTGCCTCTGGCAGTTCATGGTGCATCAGTAGCCTTCAGTGCCATCGGGGCGTCATCCTACGCTACCTCTTGAAATGGTTGGAGGCTGACTATTTCCTTTTTGGCAAAAGGATGCTGTGTACTCCTTCCATCACATTTTGGCACTTCCTGCACCATTCAACATTTTGCCCAGGTGTCCCACATGTGGCCTGCCGAGGACATTTATCTGCCCGCTGGGTGTTTTCGCCCCGTTTGTTTTTTTACTTCAAAATGAGATATGTGCAGTGTGCATAGGAATTTGTTCATAGTTGTTTTTAAAAACTATAGTCCGGTCCTTGAGGGACAGTGAACTGACCCCCTGTTTAAAAAGCTTGAGGACCCCTGGTTTTGCCCATAGAATCCTTCAATGTAAGCCCCTCAAGGCTTGGCCTTTTCCTTCCGCCCTTTCGGCTTGAGAAATGCAGAGCGCGTGCTTTCCCTCTGGTTTTTCAAACTCCGGGGGCGGACACATTTTACTATAATATTTTCCTTTGTCTTTAAAGCCACTCTTTGAAACCTCCTGTGCACCTCTTTTCCTCCACTCACTTTAGCTCCTCTGTCATTAACAAGTTTAAATGCTCACGGCTTAGTGAAAGAGTCTGAGAAAGTAACACGCTGCATTAGGCCCACTGTATGGCATTCTGGAAATGGGGAAAAATTAAATGAAAGAGACAGTAAAACGATCTACCAGGAGTCCAGAGTGGGTGTGGGCAGGGCATACATAGATGGAGCATGGGGCATTTTTAGGACAGCAAAACAACTATTCTATGTGATATGGTAACAGTGGACACATGACATTACACACTTATCAAAACCTATAGGGCTCACATCACAGAGCAAATCCTACTGGAGAGATAGCACAGGTGGGGGAGGAGATGTGTGGGTACTCTGAATTGGGGGCCCAGTTTTCCTATAAACCTAAAGTTGTTCTAAACATTAACTTAAAAAGTGGAAGTTTGCTATAGAACCTCGGTTGAACATTCAGCTCCACCACGTATTAGCAGTGTGATCTCATTGCACCCTTTCTGGTTTTCTGAGCTACAAATGGGAATACATAGTGCCTGTCCACCTGTAATTTTTATGAGGCTACAGAAGATCATGCAGGTACATGCTTATTAACACAATAAATAGCTGGACAATAAGAAGTGCTCAGAAATGGTTAAAAAAGAAACCGTTTTAAATCCATTTAAAGAGCCCAGCACATGGCAGAAGAACCTTGGTGGTGCAGGTGTTAAAGCACTTGGCTGTTGATGGATCCTCTGAAGGGGGTCCCATAAAGACGCCCCGCCGGGAAAACCGTGCGCAGCAGCCCCGCTCTATCTTCCAGGGTCTCTCGGTGTGAGTCAGAGTCGACCTGTTGGCAGCGGGCAGGGTTTATTTTGAGCACTTGGCTGGAAGTGTAAGCTCCTTAAGACGAATCAGCCCTTTGGGCTCAAAAGGGCAGCATTTGCGCAAGGACAAAGTTCAGAAGGGTTGGGAACGAAGGGATGGAGACGGGAGACACGAGGAGGAAGTGCCATCAGGGGTGTCAGGGCGAGGAGATGGCGGTGAATGCGGTGAAGCAGACGGTGTATGGAAACCCGATCGGAGCTGCAAATAGAAAACAAAAGCACCTGGTCTCGCAGAGGAAAGGGGTGAGGCTATTTCAACACTCCTAGTGTCGAAAGAGTCATGATTAAAAACGATCACTTAGCGCGCTACGAAAAGACCTAGATAATTAAGACGTATCCATACTTCATTTCTCTGAAATGCCACCTGCTGGATTTGTAATCCATCCACTGCTCAATAAGTGGACGTCCGGAGAGCTGAAGGGGACTTTGGTTTTTTGCTCCCTGTCGCTGTCCCAGGGGAAGGTCCTGTGTACCAGCTGGGCGGTCAATGTCAAAAGCAGAGGGAGGGTGTGGTGTTGTAACATTACGGAGTTGCCGGTTTTCCAACGGTCAACTTCTACCCCAAAGTCAGTCCTAGAGCTAATTTCACAATTTGGCCCCCGAGAAGGATAGGTGATATCCTTACGAACCAGCGAGGTGTCAATTTCCACCCCACCTCCTGTGCTTACTCAGTTTTCAGAGCCTTGTCAGTGGTCTCAAGCTTCTTTCTCATCCCTCTTCTGACTGTAGGGTAGATTGAAAAGGATGGCATTTGATTAGCAACGTGGATCCTCTAGAGAAAGCCTGTGGTAGTTACATGATCTGGTGTCAACTTGGGACTATTAAGAGTGAATGGGGTGGAGTTTAGACTGTCAAACAGGTCCCAGCTGGATGACCTCATTTGGGAGGGGCAAAATGAGATAAATAGCTCACTCAAGGCCAGATACATGCTCCCTCCCTGCAAGACATTCCTGTTGACAAGCCACATGGGGCTATGCTGATGGCAGCCAGAGCTTTGGAGCTTCGTTTTTTGGATAGGTACGGTGGGGTCAGCATCCCTTCTGCTGTAGGCAGATTTGTATGTGCAAGCCGCTATCTTTAATTTTCCACGACCAAGAAAGTTCCTTAGCTCCCAACATCTTCTCAAAAGCTCTGAGACCCAACAGTGCCATCTGCCCTCATCTTTGCAGGTCAGGGCAAAGGAGGGCCAGGAAGTCCTCCGATGTGACTTCTCTAAGGTCACGGTACAAGTTCAATGGGGAAGTGGGAAACACACTTCACACTACGGTCTGTAGAATTCTGAGGTGCTTTGGTAATTTCATAAATACTTGATTGAAGTTCCATTGATGAAAGTGCTGACGAAAATCACAGACGGACACTTAGAAACAAAATGGAGACACCACATGAATGCAGAGCCTCCTGTCTCATATTTTAGAAACTCCAATTAAAAATATATATTTTCATTTTTTCAAAACAGCCTTCTTGTTCCCATCAACTACCTTTATATTTACTAACTTATAAATTTCACTTGGGGAATTTCTGCTGGTCGAAGACCGGTGAGGAGTTTCTTTGGGGGGAAAGAAAAGGAGTCAGCTACTAAAAAAAGGTTTGAAAAGCATTGGTGAGTGAGAAGGGTGTTGGGTTCCCGATCTCCCAGCAGTGACCCGAGGCTAGCAGGACCTGGCATTGTCCGGAGCACAATGGAGAACAAACTTGAGGGCGATGGATTTGAACTTCTTATTGTAGTTTGTATTGTGATTACGGGGCAGATTCGTGTTCTAGTGAACAGCGTAGACATACGTTGTTTCAGGACATTGGCTGCAGTCCCCACAATGAAGTGAGTGCTCATCTCACTTCCTGGGTTTCCCGTTTCCACTTGCCCTTCTCCCCTCTGACATGTTTTTTGTTTCCTGAGTCAGTTGATTATACTGAGGAATATGTGCCTCCCTGCTGTTTTTCTTCTCGAGCTGATAGGCCTACTTTAAAGGGCTCCGGACAACCCTTCAGAATCGTGTTGTGGCTACACACACCCATCTACTCCCTTCGCTTGCGCTGAACTTTGGCCTAGCTCACATGGCTCACAGGGAACGTTAGGGCCTGCTTGTGCATGGGTACAAAGTTCCACTAGTCCAATGAACACGGATAGTTTTGAAAAAGCTGTGATCGACATATCAAAGGAGTGGTGGTGGGGTGTGTACAGAGGCAGTGGTGGCAGCCAGTGCACACGCAAAGACACTTTCAGACACCTTAGAAGTCTTTAGCCTCAGACAAATCTGGGCTTGAAGCCCAGATCTGCTTTTTACCATCCATGTGACTTGGAACAAGCTTTAACCTTTGAGCCTTGGTATCTGCGTCTGTATGAGGAAGATCAAACCATCTGTCTTTGCCAAGCTGTTTTAAAGATCAAGTGACTGACTGACTGTGCAAGGGCTTGAGCACAAGGCTAGGTGCTCCACAAATGGTAAGCCTTCATTCAGGATGGCTGTCAGAGGCTGAATGTTACAGGTAACACCTGTTTTTGCTTTATAGCACTGTTTTCACGACTGAAAAGTAGAGGGCTGTTGTGGGGTGCCATTGAGATGATTCTAATTCATAGCATCCCTGTGGGACAGGGAGGTGTGCGTGACTCTGCTCTCCAGAAGAAGGGAAGCCGGGAGAAGCTTCCAGGGCATAAGGATCTTGAGCTCCCCTGGGAAAGTGCACGGGCAGGTGCACCAGAGGCAGCTTGGACGTGGGAGATGTCAGATGGGGGACTGTAGCCTCGTCCCTTCCTCCAGACCCAGAGAAGACACAAAGGACCAGGGGAAAGGATGTGCCACTTGGGAAAGACGAAGTCCACACACACTCCATGTAGGCAGGCACAGATTCGCACCCAAAGACAGTTCGTGAAAGTACATACTTTATTATTTCACACCTGCCGTTGGAAAGGGAGGCCACTTGGAAAAAAAACTGCAGCACTAACACTCTCATTCTGTGCTTCCTTCCTCCCAAGACATTTCATTCCAATTTGGGGGTTCTGGGTTCCCAAGGCAAGAAGACGAAGGTGGCATGGTATCTGGAAATACCGAGACTCGAGGAACTCTTGTCTGAGAAGAGACTTTCTAGGAGCGGATGGGATTGTTTACTGATCCCCAGTATGGTGAGGCACCTCACCAAACAGAGAAAACCAGCACTTAACGTTTAAAATGCAACGGCAACTTGAGCTCTCAAAGTGTTCCCTTACTTCCAATCGCCTCGGGTAGGAATCTGGATACAGGAAGAGAGCAGCTAAGCTTACCCAAACTAAGCCTCTGTGGGGTGTGGGGAAGGAGACACTCCTGGGCTGGAGTCGACAGAGTGACCCAGCTAAGGACAGATGGGGAGGGTGGCTCTGGGTAAGAAAGGTACTATTCTTAGACTTCTCTAGGTAGATGTTACAAATGCCACCACCAGTCAGCCTCCCGACAGGCATGTGCAACATGGAAGGGCCTTCCCTTTACTGCAGGTTGAGAAACTGAGATCCACAGAAGTTGACCACTTCTTCCTCTCTCAGGAGAGAGACAAAGGCTCTCCAGGCCAACAGACTGGTATTTGAAAGAGAAAATCTATCAGTCTAGATAAGCCCAAATTCACTGCCATCAGATGGATTCTGACACATGGCAGCCCGACAGGCCAGAGTAGGGCTGCCCCGTGGGTTTAGGAGACTGCAACTCTTTGCAAGACTGAAGAGCCTCGTTTTTCTCCTGTAGCGTGGCTGGTGGTTTCGAAGGCGGCCCTTATGGTTAGCAACCCATCACACAACCCACGAAGCCACCAGGGCTCCTGCTAGGTAGAGATCCTAAACTTGACAGCATCAACCCAAGCTCATTAGATGTTATGGGTTCAATATATGGGGAATTACTTCTGATACTTAATGAATGAATTAGTAAGCAAGGTATAATAGTTGATAGCATGCAGACAGTAAGTAAAATATAATGTTTTTCTGAGGATATCAAAAAGCAAATTCATTCTTGTTATTCCAATGGGTATACAAACAATCACTTATAGAAATTTGAGAAATGTTTAATTTTTGGAAAACCCGAACTATTTAAAACGTGATTGTGAGACTAGGCAAAAGTCAGAAACCAGTACATTGGGAACAAGTGTGCAGCTGGCCTGAAAGGCAGACACCATAGAGGAATCATTTACTCATTAAGAAGGTGAAAAAAAGTTTAAAAAAAAGAAAAAAAAAAACCCAAAAAACTTTTAAAAAAGTCCTTTCTATTAGCAGACATGAAGGGCTTCGAAAGGTTCCAACCAAACCCACTGGTGTGGAGCTGATTGCAATCCATCGAGAGCCCTCAGGGCCGAGTCGAACTACTCTTGTGGGTTCTGAGGCTGTAAATTTTTTTGAGAACAGAAAGCCTCACCTTTCTCCTGGGCAGCAGCTGGTGGATTCGAACTGCTGACCTTGCAATTAGCAGCTTAACTCATAACCTGCTAGGCCACCAGGGTTGTGTGTGTGTGTGTGTGTAAGAGTGAAGATTATTTTGTAGCATGAGCTGGATTCAAAAAGTAAACAGACAGGAAGGACAATTCCTTCAAGTAAGGCTGCCTGGCGGTAAGGCACAGAGGGCTATGAGCAGCTGGTTGGTGCAGAAGGCGGCGGTAGTCTGCAGAGCCCTGCTCCAGCTGGGGGTGTCAGGTGGCGATGAGAGCAAGTGTTTCGGGCCTATGGCCTGGCTGCTGGTCAAGGTGCACAATGACTTATGAAAGGCAAAGGAAGAGGATTTGATCTAGCAGCTAGTGAGCTAAAAATAAGAATTTGAAAATATTTTAAAGAGTAAGAGATGTTTTATATATATATCATATATATCTCAATATATCAGCAATCTGTTTCTCTCGCCGTATTTACAAGCTAAACATTCGTTCACCTGTTTTTAGGATCACTATACATTCTAAGAACAACAAACTCAGCGTATGGAAAAGGGAAGGGAGGGAGAACATTTAAGTTTCTCAGCCCTGCTCTCCTTCTGCGTTAAAGGCTAATTTGGTCCCCTACTTCATCCTTTGCAGGGGAGAGAGCACATTGGTGCCTTAGCCTATGTGGCTCAGTGTTTTGCCCCCATGATGCCTTGCAACATATCTATGGGCAGAGGGAAGACGATGGTGGAGTTTTTCTCAGCAGCGATGGTGGTCAGTGTCTGGAGGTACCGGAGCTGAAGGGCTGCAGGAGACTCCGTGATGACAATAGAGGCTTCTTTCAGAGCTCTGGACGCATTCATTTCTCCCTCGGCAGCAATCACCTGTGAGAGGACAGTGCGAGAGAGAAGTCAACTGGAGAAGGCAGCAGGTGGACGTGCGGCAAGCAATCTTCAAACTGGAGTTTGCACGCATGCATCCAACTCCTTTTGGAAGTCTGGCGGATTTCCAGTTCTTCGATTTGCAGAGAAAAGAATGAGGACCACAAGGAACGAAAGATTACAGGATGATTTTTTTTTCTGAGCACTGACTCAGAGTGTTAAGAATTGCAAGGTATTGCTTTAACCAAACCTTCCATTTCCACCTATTTTTATATGGAGACAGGGTTTCTTTGTCCTTGTATCTAAAGTAGGAACGAATTGGGTGCTGAGGTCTGCCCCATTCCAGCAATAAATCATAGCCATCCACAAGTACATGAACGAATACCTCATTCAGCTCACTAAGGGAAGCAGCTTTAGTAAAATGACATTTCTTATACAGGAGAAATTGTGAAGTATTTAGATAAAAAATAAGCAACCAAGCCCAACCCATCACAACCCTACAGGCCAGAGTGAAACGGCCTCCCAGCGTGTCCAAGACTGATTGTTACAGAAGCAGACTGCCACACCTTTTCCCCTCAGAGCGGCTGGTGGGTGTGAACCACCAACCTTTCCGTTCACATGGCAATACCACGGCTCCGATTTATAGTCATAAGAAAATATTCCACACGAATTTTATTTTATTTCTTTCTGAAATGAATTTTAAATGATGTAGCAAATGTGGTGCTGTGGGCAATAAAGAATTCATAACAAAATATGTTAGATAAAACTTCTGATCGTTAAAGATCTCATCGGGGGAGGGAGCGGGGAAAAGGAGCAGCTGATACCAAGGGCTCAAGTAGAAAGATAATGTTTTGAGAGTGATGATGCCAACAAACGTACAAATGTGCGTGACACAAAGGATTGGATGGATGGATTGTGATAAGAGTTGTATGAGCCCCAAATAAAATGATTAAAAAAAGACCTCATCCATATATTTGTCAATGAACGATTAAATCCTTGTTACTGAGATTTACTAGGTACATGTAACATACGTGTGACTCTCAGAAGGCAGGCACGGGCAGGGAAGAACACACAAGAAGGAAATGGGAATGGTGCTGCTGTACTGTGAATTCAATGACATGAAGCAAAATGTGTTTGGATTGCTGAATGGAAACCAGTTTGCTCTGCAAACCTTCACTCAAGTCACAGTAAGCAGTAAAAAAAGAAAGCCTTAAAAATCAGTGCTTTATGGAAGAAGCACATCAGC